AGCCGGGCATGGTGGCGCATGCCTGTAGTCCCAGCTACTTGGGAGGCTGAGGCAGGAGGATCGCTTGAGCCCAGGAGTTTGAGGTTGCTGTGAGCTACGCTGACGCCACGGCACTCACCCTAGCCCGGGCAACACAGTGAGACTCTGTCTCAATCGGTGGATAAGTCCAGGAGCTACAGACAAGCGTCCGAGCTCGGGCGGGCGGGACCGCGCACCACTCCGAGCTCCAGAGTCCTGCGGCCGACCGCCCGCATCCTCAGGGCACACACGCAGCGGCTCAGACCGCGGCCAGGCGCGCGCCCGACGGGGGCGGGTTGCGCAGGGGAGCGCGGCTGCGCGTGCGCAGAAGGCCTGGCGGGTGCGCGGCAAGATCCCAGAGGTCGCGGGCGAGCGAGCGAGTGCTCAAAGCCGGCTTCGTTTGAGGTCGGCAGCTGCCCTTTTAAGAGAACATTTCTTAGTGGGTATTCCGGCCGTGGCCACTTTTCTGAGGCGCGAAGGACCCCTAGTCAGTGTGTGAGACAGCCTGGGAGCTCCTTGGGGCTGAGGTAACGGCACACAGCGGCCCTGTGCCCCCGCCAGGTTGGCTTTGCGTTTCTTTTATCTCTGAGGGAAGTTTGTGGCCCGGGCCCCACCGCTCGGCAGCTGCAGTGTATTCCCCCCGCCCCCGGAGGTCGCCTTCTCAGCCCCAGGCCCTTGGGACGCCCGGCACACCGGGGTCCGGCCCGTGCCACTGCAGGGCCCAGGCGGAGGAAGGGGCGAGGGAGGGCGGCGGCGGCGGCCCCGCGCAAGAGACCGGCGCAGAGAGCCCGGGGCCCTCGGGCCGGCCCCAGTGACCGTGCTTCCCCCCACCCCGCGCCCAGCTCCGCTCCCCCTACCCTTAGCAAAAACTTCCCAGTAACTACAGCGTTCTTCTGCTCTGTGACCCCTCTGACGCGGGCTTGGCCGTTGCCGTGACAGCGAGACTTCTTCCATTGAAACACTTCCTGTCACATCCTGCCTCGATGATTCGAATGAGTTTCTGGCTTTCAAATGCCCGATTTCACCTGGGAGGTAAATATCTGAGTCAGGGCACTCAGTCACATCTCCGTTCAGCTCCCCGGCTCCTGGACTGAGTCTTGGCATTTGGGGAAGTGGACGGAAAGATGCAAACAAGTGTACTTTGCTGAGCAGCTTTTATTTTCAGAGCTCTAGTTCCTTCATTTGTGCATCTGCAGGCAGTAAGCCCGTCACAGTATCCAACAGTCCACCTAGAATCTCTCCGGATGTCTCGTGGCACCTCAAACTTGGGCGTATCCAGATACAGACTCAAAATCTTTCCCTCAAACATTTACTTACCAAGGCTCCTTTTTTTCGGGAAGTGGCACTTCTATCTCTTCAGTTAGTTGCCCAAGCAATGGGGAGTCATCCTTGACTGTTCTTTCTCTCCCACCCCAACAAGTCACAAAATTGTCACTAGACATCTTCTCAGGCATCTTCCTAATCAGTCCCCTTCTCTTCATCTCCACTTCTGTCTCTGTAGGCCAGGCTACTGTCAGCTTCTGCCTGGAACCACAGGAGTCTCCTAGCTGGTCTCCTTTCATCTGCTCCTGTTCCGGGTTGTTTCCCACGTTACAGCCAGAGGGATTTTTTTTTTTTTAAGTCACAGCCATCTGGTCATGTCATCTTTTTATTACACCCTACAGTGCCTTCTGATTGTTCTTAGGACAGATGCCACAATCCATAACCTGGTTTATAAGAAAAGGCCTCATCCCTTCTCTATACTTTCTTCCTAGATGATCTCATCCATTCCAGTAGCTCCACATACCATCCAAATACTGATGACTCAAACGTATATTTCCGTCCTCATTTCCATCCCTTGCACAGCAGGAGACTGCATCCACTTGGATGTCTCATAGGCCTCTCTGACTTAACCAAAACAGAACTATTTATTCCTCCTGCCCTCTCCCCACAAATCTTTCTCTAGAATCCTTCCTTGCCTCAGTAAAGGGTACGTACCGTTGTCTACCTAATTGCAAAGGTCAAAAACCTAAGAGCCATCCTTGAGTCCCACATCTAGTCCATTAGTTAGTCTGAAATATACCTCAGACTATTCACTAACTACTAAAACTCCGAGTCCAAATCAGCAGCTTCTTTCTCTTGGACTACTCCAGAAGCTTCCTAATTTGTCTCCCTGCTTCTGCTCTTGTCCCTTTACAGTTCATCTTCCTCTTGGCTGGCAGATATTTAGATATTTTTAAAGCGTACATCAAATCATTTCTTTCCTCTTTATAAAGCCCTTAGCATAAAATCTGGACTCTTTACAATGGCCTACGAGGCTTACATGGTCTGGTCCATGCCTGACACGCTGACTTCATCTGCCTCCTCTTTGTCTTCATTCTCAACGTTCTAATCACATTGACATTTCTGTCCGTTAAACTACCCATCAAAGGGCATCTGTGCTTGCTTTTTTCCCTGCTTGGGATGCTTCTCCCCCTGATCTTTGCATGGTTGTTTCCTTTTCATTAAGGCCTCAACTCAGTTGTGATCTCTTCTGAAAAGCCTTCACTGGCCACACTAGCTGAAGCAGCCTCCTGGTCATTCTCTAAGATAAAAC